TAAAAGTGTGGAAATTAAGGTGATAACCTTATCATAAACTTTTCTCTATTTTTCCTTCCATCATATGATATATATATATATATATATATATATATATATATATATATATATATATATATATATATATATATATATATATAGATATAGAGTCTTGATCTTGTCCAGACGTCCGGACAGGAACCGCCGTCCGGCCGGCGGCGTTTGGCCGCCTTCCCGGTGGAATTTTTTGATGAAATTTTTATGGCATGTTCTCCATCAAGTCTAGTTTATCCAAAAAAAATCAGCCAAAAACTCAATCGGGAAGGTTGTCAAATGATTTTTGCAAGTTAACTGGTCCGGAAAATACATACATATATATATATATATATATATAGGGTGCGGTTCCGGTGAGAACACCCTCTTAGGAGAGGAAAAAAGATTAAAATACAACCATTGATTAGTGGAATCATGCGGCTAAGATGTGAGCTTGGGACGTTTAAAAAAAGCACGTGATGCATGCGTGTTGCAAATTAAAATGCCAACCGTGCATTTAGAAAGCTTTCAAAGGGTAAATGGGTAAAATCCTTCTGCCATTAATTAAGGCAGTTCGGCACACCAATTCCTATATGGCAAGAATCTCGGTTAATAAACAATAATGATATTTAACTTGGGAATCATTTAAGTGCATTGGAAAAGACCATTTTGAGGATGATATTATAAAATAAAAAATAATGATGATGAAGCGCACAATGAGTATTGACTTCGTACACTAAAATTTAATATGAAAGGGCATTCAGATATTATTATGCATTTTTGATAAATTTAGTATGTACCCAAATAAATTTAAAGTGCACCAAAAAAAAGGTAAATGTGCATTGAGAAATGAGATATATATACATTATAGAAAAATTTAGTATGCACCAAAATGTATTTAACGTGCAATGTATATTTACATATGTTTAATGTTTAAAAATATGTTTTATGTGGATCATTCTATTATGTACTTCATTTGAGTTATTGTGCACTTCTAACATTGAGGTACACATTTTGTAGTTGATCTACGATTGTTCTATAAAATTCAAATAGTTTTATAGAATACTTTTATTTGATATATATTTCTGCACTTTTTGGTACAACTAGCCATACTTTTGATCGAAGTATGTTAAAATTCTCTACGTGCACTTTTATTTATATTGATTTGCACTTTTAATATGACAATCTAACTCGTTGATTTGCATGTGAGCCATTGTGCACTTTTGCAGCAAATGTTGTATGAATTTTAATCATACAATTTATATGCACATTTCGTGCTTCACGATGCACTCAAATATTTTACTGAATGCACCTTTATGCAATAATAAGCTAAATGGAGCAAATTAATTGTAGATGGAAAAAGGGAGCAAATTAATCACTTGATTGGTGGGTGGTACAACCGCACAAATGGTTAAGATATCATTTTAAATGTACAGAAAAGTGCACTTCAATGTATACAAAAGTGCGACATTACATCACACTTTCTAAATATCTACTTGCACCCTTATTACAAAATGAAATGCACTTAAATCACGTGCATGTGAAATATATACAAAAGTGCACTATTATAACAAACTTTTTGCAATTTTACATTGACATTTTATACAAAATTAAAGGCACTACTTCTTCGAAACGAGTCACTTTTTCTCTATTAGCATTGCATCCTATCGTATCTGCAAAAAAGCAAAAAATTAAAAACTAATGAAAGTGCATGTCCAAAGCTTGTTAAGTGCATAATACAAAGCTTAATAGAAAAGTGCGACATATAATCACACTTTCTAAAGTTCTACATACACCCTTACTTATTACAAAATGAAATGCACTTCAATCATTTGCATTTGAAATACATACAAATGTGCACTATTATAACAAACTTTCTGCAGTTTTACATTGACATCTTCTACAAAATCAAATGCACTTTTTCTTCGAAATGAGTCACTTTTTCTCTATTGACATTGCATCGTATTTGCATCTATTGAAAGTGCATGCCCAAAGCATGAGAAGTGCATAATAAAAAACTTTAAAGAAAATCATATTTAATATTGTCTGGAAATAAAATGTCAAATGCATAACTAAATTAACATAAATACTTACGGTAGGAGCATATGATAAACTCCAAGAGAGGAAACGATAACAGAATTCTTCCAACCATGATTGATATACATCAGAAAACGATAAACTCCAAGGGCATGACGTTTAAAATATTGAAACATTATTAGAATTATACATCCAAACTGTACTATACAATGTCGAATTTGTATATATGCAGTATCTCAATAAAAAAGGGACATAATTATACATATATTAATCCCCCTTAACTTAATCCAATAAAAAAAACGCACACAACCCATGGAAAAGATCACGCAGCAAACATAGAAAATAGTACTTCGTATGAAACAAACGAAACTTACTGAACTCCATGGATGAACGTTAGGTGGAGCAGACAACTCAGAAAAGAAAAAGCAACGATCAATGTCGACAACGGAAAAGAAACGATCAATACGCGCAAGGAGAACAGCACGATGAAAGAGGCAGGAAACTATCTTTGGAAAGAATTGAGGAGAAACGGTTATGGAAAGAATAATTCAGCGTGATCTTAGGCGCAGGAAAGAATAGGATTTACGTTTCTACGTAATTGACTTGGCTACCCTTGGAATCATTTAGGCGCACAGATTATTAGAAGATAATCCAACGATCCATTTCTATTCTTTTTCCCTCTCCTAAGATTAAGTTCTCACATGAACCTAAATCTATATATATATATAGAGGAATGATCCTGTCCAGCCGGAGGGACAGGATCATCCGTCCGGCCGCCGCCGTTTGGGGCGGTTCCCGGTGGAGTTTTTTGATGAAATTTTTATGGAATGTTCATCATCAAGTCTAGTTTATCCACAAAAAATTTCAGCTAAAAATTCAATCGGGAAGGCAGTCAAATAATTTTTTGAAGATAACTGCTCCAACTTAAACATATAAAACGCAGTTATGTTTCAAAAAATTATTTGACTGCCTTCCCGATCGAATTTTTAGCTGAATTTTTTTTTGGATAAACTAGACTTGATTAGGAACATTCCATAAAAATTTCATCAAAAAAATCCACCGGGAACCGCCCCAAACGGCGGCGGCCGGACGGAAGATCCTGTCCCTCCGGCTGGAAGTGTACTTTGGCAAGGATGATGCATATTTTTCCCCTGGGGAAGGGCCGGTGTTGCGTAAGGTTCAAACAACGTTTGCATTGAGGCGCTGTTACACCTTGGTGTTTATCAAGCGTGTCCCTGGGATGGCGCTGTTGATGGCCATTTCACCATGTGGAGTGGAAGAACCACCCAGGCGGGCCAAAAAATATGAAATCTCGACACTTGCATGCGCCAATACCACTGCCCCTTCCACATGATTGTTGTTCTGCGAGATTCTTGTTTCTTTGTTTAGTGGTTGCAGGTTGATGTAGGCTTTAAGAAACTGAATGGGGAACTTGTAATTTTGCAGTTCAATCTGGTTTTTAATTTCAAACTCTTTGCAATGTGTAATGTTTATTATCTATGTAGTTGTAAAGCTGAATTGTATGTTTCTTATCAAATGATGTTTTTAGTGCGTTCTAGGTTGGTTGGCGTAGAAAAAGGAATGGGGAGGCAATTCATTGCCCATTGGCTGTGAATGTATTTGTTTTGTTTTTTCCCTTTTGTTGGGTATTTTAAAGACATACCAAATCAAGAGAAGTAGTTTTGGTGAGTTTAGATGTAAACAAAAGAAATCACATGAATGGTGTATAAAATGTAAGTGTATAAACATGCAAGGAAGGGTTTTTTAAGAAATAGGTAAATGGGGGTTAGCAAAGTGCAGATCAGACAATAAATAAATGTTTTGTTTTGAAATAATTTTTTTTGTATGACTCTAAAATGTATTTAAAGTGTGTGAAAATAAAAAACAAAAACATAAAAAAATAGGGGAGAAAACTAATTTTGAGTAGGGGAAAGGGGGGAATTATTGAGTATATAGCGGTAAAAGTGAAAGTATATTAATGTTGTTTGTCAATTAAAGAATAATAAAGCGCATAACGTTCATTTTTTCCTTGACATATCAATTCTTTTTTATAAAATTTGGGTATAAGGCAGTTCAAAAGGTGGTATTGCATAGAATGAACAGGCCGGCAAGTCAAGCATTTCTAAGTTAAAGATCAGGTAGGGGGTGAAAAAGTACAGGCAAAGACTGGGGCAAGTTAAGCAGCTGAACCTAACAATACCATGACAGTGCATTAAATAAAACGGAATCTACAAGGACATAACATTCATAGAGCCAAAGACTGGGGTAAAACCGTTTGTCAAAAACAGCTAATATACAGCATAATCCCTTAAACCTGCAAAGTAGGAGCCAATAGCCCAGTTTGTGCAAAAACAAAGATGTACATGCATCATTTGGCAGCAAGTAATGTTAGTCAGAAACTCTTATTTTCTACCTATTATACAGACCATGAGTTTGAGCAAAACAGATGGGCTTACTAAAGTTTGATGTGTTGCCCGTGCACTAATTTACAAATATGTGCATACTATTGTAATAGCATTTTTTTCGATGTAGCAAACCATAGCATTTGTTGGGGTTCAAGTGTTGCCATCCTTAGTTCTTTTGCCACGCAGATTTCCCAGTGATTCTTCAGTCTCAGCCTCATGGTGTACCGGAAGAGTAGAAATAGCAGAGCATTCGGGAGGTAGGTCAGTAGGTGATTCGAAATCTAGTTTTCGTTTAGCTTGAGAAGAGGTTGCATAGGATGAGAGTGGTGGGGGACTGGTAATAGGAGGGGAGGCAGCCAGGGTGGGTAATTCTTGGGAGACAAAGACAACAGTGTAAGGGTTTGTTTGAATTCCTTCCTCATTGGGCTTTGAGTGTTTTATGCCAGCCACAATGTTCAGTGTTTGCAATTTTGCGTCAAAGTCTTCCAAGTTTGTGGCTACATTAGGGTCCATGCATGCATACTTAAAAAGGGCAAGTATGTCATTGGTGAAAAGTGTGACGGCAATGGAAGCGGTGCTATCAGTGAGGTAAGCATCAAGCCTGAATCTGAATATTATTTAAGATATTAGTAATAGAATGCAAGGAAACCATACTGTGTGGTGTTACTGTGGGAGTTACCGCTTCGTAGTTGTGCCGAGCTTTTGCCCACAGAACAGACATTGGAAAGTTATGCCTTCAGGACCGTAGACTCTGCGATTGCAGTAGTTACAACCAATGTAGAAGAACTCTTGGGAGGTATCAACCAAACTAAACTTTCCTAATACCCATACAACAATAACCTGGAAACAGAAATAATAAAGAAATAAATATTTGGAACATGCAGGAGGGAGGTGATGCGTGGGAGGGGGGAGGGGGAGGGGGGGATTTATTTTTTAAATGACAGGTAATATGTAAATGTATATTGCCTACCTCAAGTAATCCAGTTTCTAAGCCTGAAAGGGTGCTTCGTGGTTGCGCAAGAGGCTTTGAAATGATTGAAAGTGCATCATTGTACGCTTTATCCTGCACCAATGTGGCAATCTTGATTGCATTCCCATCCACCCTGTTGTAATGGCACCATAAAATGAAATGTGCTGATATTTTTTTTTGTAATAGTAGGTCAAGAGGGAAACAAGGACCTTGTTTGCAAATAAGGATACTGTTTTTAAAATATGCGTGTACCATTTTTTTAATGACAGAGCACGAGCGCCGTCAGGGTTGAGTTCCATGTGGCAGTCATATCTAGTAGACAACGCTAGACCTGTAAAGTAATGAAGAAATTTACCAAGAGATGCACCATGCATACGATTAAAATGGAGTTAGGGAGGGGGTAACCTTGGAATAGGTTGATCGCAACCCTGTTGATGAGGACAAGGGGGTAACCACCCGAGTTCAGAAGCTTTTCGATTTCACCACCATGCTTGCTGACAAATTCCTCCCACATAGTAAATGGGAGAGGGATGCACCTGTTTAGGATGGTAGGTGAAAGGTAGGTGTGTTATTGGGTGGGTGATAATACCAGTAAGAACATGGGATGAGTTAGATGGGCTACATACTCTTCGTTTATAACAACAACATCCCAAGCAGTCCGCTGTTTCCCATCGGAAACAATAAAGGTGCGGGGTAATTTCTTTACAATTGCACCCAAGATATCTGTATTAGGCCATGTAAATGAAAGTTACTGTTCTGACAAAAGTAGCAGACGTAAGGAGAGGTATTGTAGAGGTACGTACTGATACGTGTGGCATGTTGATAACTGTCAAAGATATCGCGGAATGCTGCAGTTTCTGATTCAGCAATCTCACGAAAATCAACCCCTTCTGGCGCATCGACATCTTGTATCAGGGTTCGCCGATTGAATGACCATACATAAGGGTAGTTAACGTCAATGCAGTAGCGCATTTGAGTCACAGGTTTCACATAAGCGTTCGAGATGAGGTACGTGGAGTACACGGAAAGACGTTGATCAATCCCTTCTATATCACCCTGGAATGCAGTGGCCTGGACTTTGGTTCCCTGTATAGTTAAGAAAAACAAAAAAAAATGTAAATACTGAACGGCTAATAATGAGTAGTAGATGGTGGGCCCAATAAAAACAAAAGTACACTCACAGTAGAGTCCTGCAATATCATCGGCATGAACTTCATTGGTGACGTCTTCGCTGTGCGTATGTTTTGTTTTTCAATCAAGGTGAGACGACAGGTCCATTGGTAGGTGTTGGGTTTTACATCGGTTACCAAGACTTCAACTGACATTGTTGTAAGTTCCTGTAGTAAAAAAAAATATGAATAATGTGGGGGAGGCTATCAATATTGTTAAAAGGGGTGGAAACGAAATACGATAGGATAAGAAGTGGAGTGGAAAATATAAACCTGATAGTAAACATGGAAGCTAATTAATAAAAGGTAAGATTTCATCATAAACAACATTGGTTGTTGTATCGCGGAGGGATGGTTGGGGATTGTCGGGGCAAATCACAATCTTTATGGATTCAACATTCCGAGCTCTGGACATAGCAACATACAGTTGACCGTGGGAAAAAACTGGTTCTTTCAAGTAGATGCCAACAAAATCAAGGGTCTGGCCTTGTGACTTGTTTATGGTCATTGCAAAGCACACTTTAATGGGGTATTGGATGCGCCTAAATGGAATTGGACAATTTTCTTCTTTTGATACTTCAAGGGGAATTTTGGGGATAAATACATGTTTTCCTTTGTGGTCACCAGAAGCAATGAAGCAACTTAGAATATGATCTCCAAATGAATCACAGATTAATCTAGTTCCGTTACATAGACCCTCACATGGGTTAAGATTGCGCAGCAACATTACAGGACAATTACGTTTCAGATTCAATTTATGAGGTGGCAGGCCAGAAGGTGATAGTGTGTGAAGGTAATCTGCGCAGTGCATATTTTTTGAATCTATAGGGATATCATGACTGAGATAGATGTGATCTTCTCCTGGGAACTTACCCATCAAGGATGAATTGATGAAGTCGACTATGATATTTTTTGTTGTGAGTATAGCTCGGTTCATCAAAGAGTAGGCATCTGTTTCAAATATGTGTAAGTTTGGGTATACGGCAGTGAAAAGTGTATCAAGCGAAGCAATTTCAGTGGTCCAAGGAAGCAGAAAGTGAGCTGGGATTTGTATCCTGTCTGCTGTGACAGTGGGTTCAGTTCTATTGCCAATGCGCATCAAGTAATTGCTGAATGCAGGATCTTCATGAGCACGCATATTAACAATGAGTCTGAGTCGGCAAACATGAGGCCATATTGTTTGTGATCTAAGTAGGCACGCATCCACAAAATCATGCCTTGTGCCTGATCAAACAACTGGTATTGTTTGGCGAAAATCACCACCAAATACCATAACACTACCTCCAAAGAGAGCATCTACACCCAAAATATCTCTCATTGTTGTATCCAAGCTTTCAATAACTTTGCGGTTCGCCATAGAGGCCTCATCCCACAAAATGAGTCTTGCTTCTTTAAGCAACCGAGCCTCTGATGACTGTTTTCCAATATTACAGACATATTTGGCCTCCCCGTCAAGAGGTAGTTTAAAACGCGAGTGGGCAGTCTGCCCACCAGGTAATATGGATGCAGCAATGCCTGAACTGGCAGTTGCAAAGGCAATCCATTTGTTTACTCTGGTGGCAGCTAGTAGACATCTATATAAGAAAGTCTTGCCGGTCCTGCCAGGGCCATCAACAAAGAATACATCACCCGTTTGTGACCACACGACAGACATTATAGTTTTAAAAGCTGAGCGTTGCAGATCATTCAGGAAGGATATGCCGTTGATATCCATATCACTTACAATTATGTTATGTTCTGCCAAAAGTTCACGTGTAGTTCCCTCAGTCACAGGTATGGTGAGGTCAATGTCAGTTAGTTTAAAAGAATCAATGTCCTTGCCCATTTCAGCAAACAGATCGCGCAATAAATTTAGTGTAGTTAATTCGGCCTCCGCAGTATTCTGAAGTCTGCAAAAGTCTTCACATAAAGCACTTTTGTATTCCTCCCACAATATACGGGGATCAGGGACATCTGAGTAGCATAAATGCGTGGCAAATAATTTTCGCAGACTGGTTGGAAGTTGGAATAATGTAGCCTCATCAAGCGATGCTCGTATAACGAAGTCACCAGACAGTAGTCCCAGACGTTCAGCTGCAAGTCTGAATGTGGGAGCTTCAATCCTGTCAACAGTTTTTAAGGCTGAAAAGGAAACAGGCGAACGAACGTTGGCTAGTAACAGACGAAGATAATAACGTTCTCCTTCAGTAGGATTGACAGAAACAAGTCTGCCAAGGACTTCCTGTCTTTTTCGTTGGGTCCAGTGCCTTTGCTGTGAAGACCATACAAAATAATGGGAGAATTCAATGTAAAGTAGATTCAAATTTTTTGCAACTTCATCAGAATGATTCATAGTAAAGAATTCTGTTAGCATTGTGCGTAGTGAATCAGCAGACTGGGTGATGTAGGTGATGCGTTGGTTACCATAGAAGGTGAGGTATTGGGAATTTTCCAAATGAACTTGCAACTGTAGGACATCAGGTTTTATTTCTGAGATTGGAAAACCGAATACCCGCCATGCAGCCTCAGGAGCAGAAACCCAGCGTGCTTTTTGGAAATCACTGATTTCATCAATGACTTCACCGGTTGCTGTACCACTTAATGACATACTAATTCGATCGTGACCCTTATACACATATTTATATATATATTTGACTGACTTTACGCTCGCACAAGCTTCAACATTTATGTGACAGTCATATTTGCGCAACAAGTGAGGGTTGTAACACCCCGGCCCCTGGGACCCGAGGTAGTTACTCCGGACCAATAGTACTGTCCTCACAAACCACCACAAGCCTTTACCGCACACTTTGTCCTCACTCATGCGCGCCCTGAGAAACTTCCCAGGGGGTCACCCATCCCAAGACTGCTCCCGTGCAAGCACGCTTAACTTTGGAGTTCTTGGCGGATGAGCTCCCGTAAAAGGAGATGCACCTCTGTTGGTATGAGTAGTACTATTAATCCATTTATATTAAATCTCAAGTGTTACAAGGGTTGTAAGGTACAGCCCAACGGTTGTCCAGCCAATGCTTTCTCACCTGAACAGTAACTCCCGATTCCCTTCTCCTGTAAGTAGGAAAAGAATTTTCATCGAAAAGCGTATTAGGCGTAAAAATGCGGAGGAAGTTGCTTCTGCATGAAGGTGAGGCAGACCCATGTGATACAACCATGCAAGGGCATTTCAAGTTCATGGAACCACATGGTCCATGTATCATATGCTTTTTCACAAGCTCATACAATACTGGGTTTTCACGGGGATCAGAAAGTTCAGCGGTGATGAGACTATCACACTGAGAAGGTGTACAAATCTTAAAGTCTCGAGCTAGAATGAGTAGGAAATGGGCATGAGGTAGGCCTCTTTTTTGGAACTCAATGACATACGTGTGTGCAACGACCTTCCCAAACAATGCTTTTGTCAAGATGTCCTTTTTAAAGTCTTCTAAGCGTGCACGGAACACGCGGGCAACAAGTTCTGGTCAGTTTTGGGCTTCATCAAGAAAAGAAAGGTGTTCCTTGATTTCGGGCCAATTTGGGTTACACGTGATTGTAATGAACAAGTCTGGTTTACCATAATGTTGAACAAGGGTCATTGCATCCATGTATCGCCCACGCATATCACGTGGGCCCCCAATAAATGACCCTGGTAACATAACACGCTTTCCAACATCACTGGTATTATCCAAACCAGCACCAACACTGTCAACCAACCCTTGATATGTCGCGGACCAAAATTCATGTTGTTTGCTGCGATAGTAGTCCAACCTCTGTGTCTCAATTTTAATGTACAAGTCCACAATATATTGCTGTAAAAGGCGGCCAGAATGTAGGATAAAAGATGAAGATTCATGACGCATTTGTAACTTGTACGCATAATATTGGCGACATGACACTGATTGTTTCTTCTTGCCCTCAGTGTGTACATGGTTCTCATTTGCAATGATGGTGGCGTCCGAATCAAGCACTGTGGTCCCTATTGTGAACAATGCCACATGTTGGGAACCGGGGGGCAGAGACAGGTTGACCTTTAGGAATCCCCTCGTGCCAACCAACTTCTCCAAGTGGAAAAAGCAGATGGTATTGTAATGGATCATAACAACCATAATAGTAATGAATGTTTTGACATCTGCCACTATGTGCGTACACGCGAATGCTTCTTTTTGAAGCAATATTTTCATCCCCATCCTCGACCCATACAGCGGCAACCTGAGATGCAGTGGGACGGTTATAAATACGTTGATCTAGTCTCGGATTTCCATTTAGAACTATGGAAAATTCAGCACCCTGATCAACTTCAGTGAGTCTTTTAAAAAATTGCGCATACGGGTTAGCAGACATTACTGCCATCAGCTGTGCAACCACATCCTTTTCCAACCGTTCCGTGGAGGATAATCTATTGTTAAGGGCTTCATCTGTGTCGTAGAAATAGAGCTGTAAATTCCGAGGTGGGCAACCAGTAGGTAATAAGTCATCAATGAAATGATATATTTGCCCCTGAACCCTGAATGTGTATATTCCTTGATTACGTCTGCAAAGGTTTTTGTCAAAATTGTATATTCCTATAAAAGTGAATGCAAATGTGTTGTTATATGTGCGCACACACGAACGGAAGTGTTTAGCCATCTGATCTTGGGAAGTATATAAAGTTCGAAGTTGTTCTGGCATCTCAGTTGAGGTAAGAACGACATCCCCCTTACTGCAGCACATGCCTGGAGGTTCATATTGAATCCGTTCAGCCCCGCACAAAGGGCAATCTGACACAGGCTGTAGGCGGTATGGTTCAATATGAATAGCAGGTAAATATCTTGGATTGTTAGGGGCAAGTGGTAAAATTTCAGTGCCTACGCTTCAGTTTTTTTGTTGACATACATTACGGAGGTAGATTGTGTTTGTGATTTTATGTGGTGAGATGACAGGTTTTACGATAACCAAGTACAATTACAAGAGCATCAGTGTCAGTCCATATATGTGGGGTAATGAAGTGGTAAACAGGGCAAGGGGTAATATGGTAAAGATATGGTTTTGCCGAAGATTTTGATGTGTTACCAATTTAGAATCAAGTAACAGCCAGGATGAGCACGACAGAAGGAAGAGGTACATAATGGGGAAAAATATATAGGTTAGCCAGGGCAAAAAAGGGAGTGGTCGAAAATA